ATCTAAGCCGAAGATTTTGCTGCTGAAGGATGGGCGCGCGATCCAACTGGCCAAAAGGAAACTCGTAAAAACGATTGTTTTCCTTTTTTCTCATTGTTTACGACTATGCTGAATCGTGCAGGAAAAGGAGGATTGCAATAAAACGCCATCGAAAACCGTTTTATGTGTGGTTTGTCCCGATTTTCCGGAATGTTTATTGCTAGTCATAATATACGAAACTTTACAACATTAACGGAATGTCCAAATAACCACGTTGCAACATTGAAAATTCCGCTAGTGGGACCAATTCTATAAGCACCACATTTTTTTAAATTAAAACCATTGTTTGACTAAATGCGGATGTTAATCACGTAAGACACGCTTAGATACACGATCAGATTCCAATTAAAGCTGGACATTTTCAACAAAACAAATTGCCCTGGACGTACTTACTCGGTGTCGCTACAAAAATGCCAAATTAATTTTAAAACATTTAAATAGATTAAATCGCAGATCGGCAATCGGGTGTCATAATAAATGACCATTACTTTTCTTGGCCGTGTTCAGTGTAAGAACAGAAACAGTCCATTTCGTTTGAATAAGATCGGTATCGAAACAAATGATCGAGTTATTTTGGCATGGCCCGAAATTTACAAGCCAGTTTTGGGCCCGGATAACAAGGCAAACCCCTCAACACGTGCATTTATACAAAAAAATGTGTTTTTTTGGGGGGGTTTTTCATTTCCATCAAGCAAAAGAAGACGATTTGGCTTCAGTTTTATTAGGAGAAAAATTGTCTGGCTCTTCTGCTATTGATGGTCACAGTTTGTTTAAAAGACTACGCTGCTCAGATGGATTTTAATGGAATCCACATTGGGCAGTGGTGATTTCTTGAGTGTCTTGGTACAAAAACGACCAGAACTTTTTCCTTGGCAGACTCAATCAATTCACTTTTTCTGTCGGTTTCCTTTCGGATATTAGCTGCGAATATGATGATTTTTTTAAATCAATTTATAGTCAATCGTTTTCTAATGATGAAGACGCGACCTACATGGTGAAAAATTACTCCTTTTAAATGAATACAGGGTAACAGTAAAACAGTTGCTGATTTCAACTTACTTCTTTAGCTCTTTTTTTGTACTTTTTGCGCAAAAATCTCGAAAACCACTTAAAAGTGCTGGTGATTTTCGCCTGAAGACGCTCAGAAACGTAACATTTGCCCCTGAGTATTACGCTGATACCCGCTTCCATTAAGAGGCGCTTTGTCGTTTCAAATGCGTTATGGAAGCAATTTGTAATGAAAGAGTAAATAGCAAAGTAGATTTTGGGATGAACAATGGCTGTCAACCGGCGAGAACTAATTAGATTCGGGATCTAACAAGTGAGGCATATTCATATCGAAACACGCGAGTTCCAATTTAAATTTGCACCGTAAAAAATAATGGCAACAAAGGGAACAATACGAATTGAACCAGCCTAGACAAAAGATCTCATCATTTTCCGGCCGGATAAAAAATCGACTCATTATAGGCAATGGCGTGCACGCGTTTATAGACAAAGTGCCGCAACTGTGCTGATGGATTGGAAAGGCCACATTGAACACATTGAAGATGGCTTAGAAAGCATGCCCATCTTTGACCAACTCGTACATATTTTTAATTAACAGGCACGTTATTGATCGGGCAGCCAACAACGGTTTTTCGGAGCGGGCCGGTTGGCACATTTTTTCAGCCCACGCCACTGTCTTTGCAATGAAAAAACCATGATAGTGTGTATGTTCGATCAATCGCAGTTATTGTTGGATATACAAATTGTGTGATGGAGGTTATTACTCTCGAATGGTCGAATATCTTCGGGTCATGCCATCACGCCTCTGTAAAGTCTTAGCTGGGGATTCAGAAACAAACTATTTCTCCTGAACAGTTTGCTTAGTGGGGAAAGTTTATTTATTTATTTATTCTTACCTGCGGTATGGCACATTTACACAAAAAGTGTGGCATATTGCAGGTAAAACAAATACACTGTTCCCTCATCAACAGTATCAATTGTTGAAAGTTTCAAGTCTTGGGGGTACAATTTTTCGAATCCCTTTAGACGTGTTTCCTGGTTACAGAATCGTGGTGATTTTCCAGATACAATTTGTTTTATGTAAAATCCCCTCTGGATAGTTTGCGGGAAGACTTAAGCTTGTGCTGGAGTCAATCTAGATGAAAGGGCGGATTATAGAAGTCAGTTACCCCCATTTCTTCATCAGACAGTCGCTGTGAATGGTTTAAATGCGTTTAAAAGTGTTTTTCACACTTTAACTGTTAAACACATTTTTCAGTTCCTTCGGCTTTATTTAACTTCCTTTTGCTCTCTTCTGCTCCGCTATGGCCACTGCTTCCTGTTTTTTGCAAACTTTTTTGAKAATCTTTGCCATTTTTYCGTTAGTCAAGGGTGCAGACGATGCAGATTTGCAGGCGAAACAATAGCAAATTGCGTGTTTTCCAGTGAAACTTTGTCAAGATTATTTGCGACTTTTCTGTGTTGTGAGCAATTTTCTTCGGCGCTCTCCCGATGTTATTTTCACTGTAATCCTTTAGGGATTTATGGAGTTACTGTTTATTGATGCGTTTTTCGTCCTTTCGTCTTATTATCGACAATGAAGGGGCGAGTGGAAGAAGGTGTTTTGCAACATTAAAAGGATATTTTTACAAGAATGAATGTGGCATGAGCATCTTTTGCTCCGCCTGACATCGAGAAGGAATTGTAGCAGTTAATTGGGAGAAGTTGGATGCAGGGGCGGATCCAGTTTTAAATTCAGGGGGGGGTTATGTAGAAAAAATACAGTCTTCTGTTGTCTATGAAATTAGAAAAATTATCGAAGGGTGGCGTAAGATTATTGTAAAATTTCATGTGTTCCGTCATGTTTTGCATGTTTCTCGAAAGCAAAATGAGCAAGAACGCTCATTTGTACATCATTTTAGACAGAAATAAATGGTCTTTTTAGAAAGTGAAACATGGATGGGGAATTGTTGGCAGTTTTCTCAAAAAATGAATTCAAGAAGTTTTAGATTTGCGTGGTTTTTTTTTGAGTTACAAAATCCACTTGAACATGACTCTGCTTTTTTCGAAGTTTCTCAAGAACCATTCGAGCCACAGAATTCGTTTTGGCATCGTTGGATAGAAAATTGAAAAGTCGATTCAGTCGAACAACGTGAGTGAGGAAATTCGAGTAGTTTTGACCCAGAAAGCGAAATTTGAATATCAGACACTTAGGTGCAAGATTATGCGAAAATTCCGTGTTTTTCGTCCCGTTTTTGCTCATTTCCCGGAGGCAAAATGAGCAAGAACGCTCATTTGTACGTCATTCTAGAGAGAAATAAATGGCCTTTTTAGAAAGTGAACCATCGATAAGGAAATGTTGGTAGTTTTCTCAAAAAATGCTTGAATCCTGGATCCGCTCTTGGTTGTTGATGAATGTCTTGTGTTACTTTCTTAGTGCAAAAAATTATGAATGAATGTCTTAAGAGCTCATAACACATTCATCCGCTTCAAACATTTCGAACAAGAAATTGGAATTCATGTTAATACAAGCGACGGGAATTGGGGAAGTTCTAAGGCAGAAGAAGTAAGATGAGAGGAACATCTTATAGTTTACCAGATTTTCATCCTTGAAGGCGTTTTTAAAGTAAAAGATCTTAAATTACCTGAAGAAGGCAACACATACATACACAGTACGTTTTCATAATCGTATAAAAGGGAGTGCGGTTGATGAATTTGGAGCCAACTGGTATAAGGAAAATTATCATGAATCAACACCGTTTAAGACAGTCAATACATACAAATAGAAATCAGTCAAATAATGTCATATTTGAACGAAATATGAGTGAAATTGAAAGAGTTTCTGAAGCAAAAATTCAACATCTTCAACGCCTGCTCCCTTTTGTCTGACGACTTCAATTAGCAAACGTTGATTTATCCAGAAAACAATCCAAAATGCATTTGCAAATGAACAGTCATGCAGGTTCAACAGCGGTTTAAATCACGCTGGAGAAATTCGATTGCATTTAAAGAAAAAGTCCTCAGATAATGAATGAATAGTCGTTCAATAACCGATATAGACGGCGGATATTTTCCGATAATTCCTAATGCCGTTCATAAATGTTTAGTTAAGTGATAACATTTTAAAGCTGTTTGTCATAGTTATCTGTATATGTATACCTACATAGGTGTGAGGAACTAACACTAACGGTTGATCGACCTTGTTAATCGCTCCTCTTCAACCGCGACGAGTAAACAAGGCGATTGAGATGTTACAAATTTTAGTGTCTTTTCAAATGAAATGCGCTGCATTCGTCTTCGATGCCTTTAAGCATGCTTCAGCGTGTGCACTTACACACGCCAAAACTACTGATTGTCCTCTCTTGGAACAGAAAAACTTGTTTAGCTTAAAGCGAAATTGAAATGAAGAGAAAAAAAGCGTTTCGGCCACCGACACGGCACACCTTTCTTATGGGTAGGTAGCGATTTCAGGCGAAGTTTCAAGGAAAACGGAGATCGACTTTAGTTGCAGTCGCTTCAAGCACCTGCCAAAGCCCAACTTGAGCCAGCATTAATCTGTAGAAAAATCGCCAAACAACCAGTTTATCATTAAATCAGTTGCAAAATGCGCATTGCGAAAGCGACATGGCCAATTGCCATAAAGAATTATGCCAAATTTAAACACCTCACTTGTCCGGTTAGACCTTGCAGTATCGAAGTCATTGAGAAATAAATTGATTTTTAATCAGGTGTGTACTGAATGTAAAACCGCATTTGTTAAACTCGAAAAAAAAACACGAACATGCAGGAATCGCTCAAGTCAATTAAACTTGTTTGATTTGATTTGGAATCAACTTGTAAGGAAAGTGCGGGTGAGGTGCACAAGATTTCGTTTGTTACCAAAAAATTGATTTGATTAGATAAGGAGGCGGAAAACGCACTTGTAGCATCGGCTTTGTTTCATTGAGTTATTTAGTTGATAACATTTGTTCCAGATTACATGGTGAGCTCTGGATCGCCTCCCACAAGAGACAAGTTGCGTTGTGACGACAAAGCAAGGGCTCGACGTGATTGGCGGAATGAGAGATTGCGCGATATCGCCACCGCCCTCACTGATCGCTCACCCGAATCTAGTCTGGCTCTGCCAGCCGAAGGCCTTTTGCATCTGAAAAAAGTGAGTGAGCTAGGGATGGGACATCGATCCTATAACATCGATGTTTGACAACATCGATATAGAGACAACGGCAATATTTTTTTTAAAATTATATAAAATAAAACAAAATAAGTGGAATTCTGGGAGACATTGGCAACATTCCGCGAACATACCAGATTACTAACTTTTGCAATTTCTCCATTTTTTCGTTATTTTTTCGAAAAACTATACCTGTCAAAATGAAATTTTTTAAAGTTTTTTGATTGTTTTTTCTCAAAATGCGTTCTGTTGTTTTAGTAAGAATTTTTCGCGTATTTCTCTTAATACTGGCCTCAGGTGGAAATTTGAAATTCAGCAAATGCAACATAATATCAACGTTGGCATTGTTAACAAAATTCCAGTGCATTTGAGGTCAAAAACCCGAATATTCGAAAAAACCATTTTTGCTGTGGTCATTTTTCTCTTCGTGTAAAGATCACAATCTTCGGTAAAACCGGATTTTTAAGCAATTGAAATCGGTTAAGGTCCAGCAAAAAATGTTTTTTTTATTCGAATGAATCAAAAAGTGCCATTTTGCGAACAGAAGCGATGATCAAAAAGAAGCACTTTTCTGTAGCGTTCATTTGTTTTACGTTTACGCACGGACTTTGCCGCACAGTGTGCGACAAAGTAAATGTGACACTTTGAACTTGCCACTGTCATTATATATTTTTTAGTATTTTTATTTAAAAATAACCGAAATACTTTTTTAAGGAATTTCGTAGTTTTATCAACAACTATTGATTCTATTTTCAAGTTTACTTACAATTTGTAAATTATACCTTTGTTACAATTTCAGTCTCATAATCGTTTTAATGGCCTACTTATCTACTTTTGCGATGTTGTCACGTAATACACGATCTTTTTAAGAAGCGCAAATGTCATGCAGAGTATGCAACATGTATACACCATCGCAAGACCACAGGTGTTTCAAGTTGAAAACAATATTTGCGGCATCTCTAACATCTGGCGGTGTACAGGCCATTGGATTTTGAAAACCCATTATATACGCTTACAAAAGTACTTAAACTTAATTACAAACTTCAAAACATGACATTTCAAAAAATGACATTACCACAAAATTTTAAATATGAAATCGATGCATTTTATTATTACTCCTGACGGATTGACACCCTCGACTTCGTCTCGGGTGTCAAACGCCGTCGTCGTTCGAAAAACGACATTTTTCGCCCTTGTATCGAAAACTACTATTTTCTGGCATATTTGGCAACATATGTATATTGTTTATGCTTTTATGCTGTGGGTGCAGGCGCTTCGGAACAAAGTGCGCAGGTTGCACTTAGGCACTTAGGCTAACTCGAGATGGATTTAAGTGGCAAACAAGCATTTTCAGACACGAAAATCGCACTTTATTTAAACAAAACAAAACTGCGTTGATGTTTCCTAAAAATTAGGCTTGAGAAAACCAAACTCGGTTAGAAAACTGAAAAGTTATGAGGGTTTGAAGACCGGATAGTCATTTTTTATGCCAAAAATATTTTTAAAACACCAGATGCATTTGAATGTCGGAAAATATTTAGAATTGCTATCCTTAGGCGAACTTTTTTGCTACTTTGCAAACTAGATTTTTTTGGAGAAGAAAATGGAAATGTTTTATTGAAAATTGTACGCAAGTTGTGAACCTGAATTTTCGGAGAAAAAATATTTGCGCTCGCTTACTTAAAAATTCACATCTCTGAGACTAAAGCAGGCAGACAGTTGCATCTTTTAGCATCTTTATTAGACACTTTACGCTCTAGACGTGGAAAGTTTCAGAAAAATCCTTCCTGTCCTGATTTTTATCGGCTTTGTAAATGTTACTCATAAAAGTGATTGAGTCAATTGCGCTCGCTTGCTTAAAAATTCGCGTCTCCCAAAACGAAAGCATGCAGAAAGTTTAGTCTGTTACCAACTTTAGTAGACATTTGAGACGATGGACAAAATGCTACAGAAGTGAAAAACGCTCTGTATAGTCAAGTTTGTGTCCAATAATCATGTTGAATGTTCTCAACCTTATACCGGGTGGTTCATTATCAGTGCAAATTTTTGTCGGAAGTGCGAGTCTAGGTGTTAAAACACATCATTTGCAAGTTGTTATTGCGGATTTGCATTTTTCATCAAGCACCCTGTATACATTCAACATCAAAGTGTTCACTTGACTTTCTACTTCCACTTGCAGTGTCTCGATTGCTTGAAACTTGAACAATCTGAAAATGGACAGTAATTTACACTTTTTTGCCACAAGAATGACCTCATCAACTCATTGTTTTATCCGCTGCTTGGCGAAAAAGATTATATAGAAT